GCTTGAGCCACAGGCGCCGAGCCAACCTCAAAAATCTTAAGGCTCAAGCGATTCTCTTGTCTCAGCCTCCCCAGGTGCCCGCCATCATGCCCAGCTATTTTTAGTGGTGGGTTCTCGTTCTTGCTCAGGTTGGTCTTGGACCTGGGACCTCAGGCAGTGCACCCGCCTCGGCCTCCCAGAGTGCTAGGATTACAGGTGTAAGCCACTGTGCCCAGCCCTGACTTTATTTTTTATTTAGTTTTTTGAGACAGAGTCTCACTTTCTTGCCCTGGTAGAGTGCCATGGCATCATAGCTCACACCAGCCTCAAACTCTTGGGCTCAAGCAATTCTCTTGCCTCCGCCTCAAGTAGCTGGGACTGCAGGCATCTATCACACATCCAGCTATGTTTTTTTTAGGGATGGGTCTTGTTCTTAGGCTGGTCTTGGACTCTTGAACTCAAGCAGTCCACCTGCCTTGGCCTCCCAGAGTGCTAAGATTACAGGAGTGAGCCATTGTGCCTGGCTTGCTAAAGCCAGACGTTGGGTCATCTGGATTTATTTTTCCATGAACTCCAGATAAGCAGTTGTGGGGGGTGGGTATGGATTCCTTTGCTGGCAGCAGTGAGCCCACAGTACTCTGTGGTCTTCTCTGGTGAGGTGTTGGCAGAGGCCATCCTCACATGACAGGGACACTAACTGCTGCCGCTGTGGTGTTTTGGGTTTGGGGAAGCCCTCTGTGTTTTGGTGTCACCTTCCTTCTTGCTTGGTCTTTGGTAAGCTTCAAGCTTCCTCTCCATACAAGGGGGCAGGAGGGGCCACTGTTGTGTCCAGGCCATCATGGGCAGCATTTAAGATGATGGGTGTGGGGCATCACGTTCTGGAGCAGGAAGCGGCTTAGAAGGATCCACTGTGCTGGCATGGGATGGGGTACTCTGGAGGCTCTGAACACTTCTCTGTTGATCTTGCCCCTGCCTGTGGGCTTCTGTCACTAAACCTCCCCCTTTCCCCTTCTAGACCAGCTACCCCTGCCTCCTGGAGATGCCCCCCACCATTTTCTCAAGCCTGACTGGTGGGAGGAAATCTTTTTGCATATGTGCTAAGCTGGCTAGTGTGGTTGTCATTTTTCGTTAGGCCTTTTTTTTTTTTTTTTTTTTTTGAGACAGTCTCAAGCTGTCACCCTGGGTAGAGTGCAGTGGCATCATAGTTCACAGCAACCTCCAACTCTTGAGCTCAAGTTATCCTCTTGCCTCAGTTTTTCTGTTTAGTAGATGCGATATTGCTTTTGCTCAGGCTGGTCTTGAATTCGTGAGCTCAAGCTATCCACTCACCTCAGCTTCCAAGAGTGCTAGGATTATAGGCATGAGCCACTGGCCCCGGCCTCATTTTTAGTTTTATGTCCAGAACTTTCTGTCTGCCTGCCTCCCTCCCGCCAGCCCACTCAGGAGGGAGCTGCCTTAAACATACCTAAGACAGACCAGGAGTTCCATCCATCAGCATTTCCCAAGGGGCTTGTCCTGAGACTCTAGTACCCTGCTAAACTGCAGAAAAGGTGATTCTTTGGTCAATTTTGTGGAACTTTTCAACACCCTTCTAGGGAGTCCCTATGTACATTAGTTCATGAAAGGGTCAGCGACTCAAGGGTCAGTTTCCAAGGCCTGAAAGGTGGAAAACCAGATGCCATGCGCTCAGCTCAGCAGGCTACTTCTGGGACCTCTGGGAGCTTCCTGGTGGAGAAGGTTCTGCATTGGGCAGGGTATGCTTGGTGCAGCAGGGTGGGGCCCTCCTGCAGGGGCAGGTGTAGGATGCCTGTTGTCACTAAACCTGTGCTCACCAGTCCAGGATTTGGGAGATGTCTTAGGCTCTACATTATGCATGGTGAAGGTAGGTAAATATACATTTCTGAGTATATTTACCTATATTTACCTATTTGAAATTCCATTTCAAAATGGCCTTCTAGACAGTGTAGACATCGCTGATTCTAATAGTATGCCAACTACTGCCCCCTCCCTCCTGAAACATCAGAAACTAAACAAAATCCTAGACCTTACTATTAATCACCTTTTCTGGAATTTTCTCCTAGGAATAGAAAAATCTAACACTCTGTAACATTGGGAAAAAATCCTAAAATTGTTCTTTTTGAGTCCAGTCTTCAGAGATGGAAAGAATTGTTCCTTTTGTGAGAGAAAAATGTGTGAACATCCGAATGATCTTACCTTAACCAGTGTTAATTGATACCTTTCAACACAGTTTTCTTTTCCCCCTTTGTTTGAATTTTATAGTGTTTGAGTCAAGGCCAGTGGCATTTCCCTCCAAGAGCAGATCACATGTGGCTGGGGTGAGGGAGGGCACTTGCAGGTGGAAGGGGCCGGGGTCTGCCCAGCCTTAACCCTCTGCCCCTCTCCCTCGGCAGGGTCGGGGTGCTGGAGGATGTCTTCACCTTCCTGGGCATTTTCTTGGCCATCATCTTGTTTCCCTTCGGGTTCATCTGCTGTTTTGCCTTGAGGAAGCGAAGATGCCCCAACTGTGGAGCGACCTTTACTTAAAGGGAACACACCGGCTCTCCTACTCCCAGCTGTCTTTTTCTAATGTAAATGTCGTGTACAATAGTTTTATTTGATTAAGCTTCAGGACTGTTTTGTAAAGCAAGGTGGGATAGAGGCCACACAGAAGGAAGGCAGCACTGCTGCTGCTGGCTGCTGCTGGCTGCTGCTCTGAGGTTCATGACAACTCAATAAAGCACTGCTTTTATTTTTTGCAGTCTTCAATTTGAGAAAGGTGAGAAAAAATGTTTTCAATAAATGAGATTCATACCATTGTTTATCTAGTTCTGCATGTTCAGTGTTTGCATCCATCCCGCCACCTGAAGACTCATGTGCCACTTCCAGCCCCGACATGATCATCCCATGTTCCTCAATATGCAGTTACAGCTTAAGAAGATGTGCCGTTTTCAAATTCTTTATTAAATATAATACTTGGCATTTACAGAGCATGTGTTGAGGACAAGACCAGTCTCCTTGCCTGTGGGGTGAGCCAGAGGGGACCTGCAAATTGCAGCTAATAATCCTAGGCCCTATTCTACCTCTGTAACAAAACCAGAAAAATCCACAGGAGTGGAGCTTTGAAGACCAGGTCATGCCCCCTGCCCTGCTGCTGTCCATGATGACTTCTGCCAGCCTGCTCTGCCTGTCTTAAAAGGTGGAGAGGCACAGAGCTGAATTTTCTTTCCTGGCTGCAGCACCTGCATGACCAGTACTGTGGGTCATGGTGGGGGGTGGTTAATATAGGCCAGCAGCCCATGACAGGGTCACCTGGTTTGTCCTCCTGGGATAGGCAGACCGTGAAACTGCTCGACCTGCATTTGACCGGGACCAATTTTAGGCATAAAGGAAAATGGTTATACTTTTGTTGAGACCAGAGGAGCTGTGAAAAGCAACTGTTTCAGCATCCCCAGTACACACAGTGGGTAGGGGTGAATTTTAACTGTGATTCTCCACTCAAAATAGGTCCAACCTTTGGCCCAGGGTTGCTAGTGCAGAGACTACTGTACTGGAGGCCCAAGTCTAGGCATGTGCTAGCTGCTGGGTTGAAAGACCCATCCCTTCAGCCACCAGAGGTCACCCTGGCTTTATAAAAGTGCCCTTTGTGGGTCAGTACCTGATTAAAACTTGGAGAAACTGGGACCCGAGAAGTTTCCTGGTGAATTAGTGATGGATGCAGCTTTGGTCAACTAGCTTAGTGAGAGCACCTGGGGCCTCCAAACATGGACCCCCTCAGATTTGCACATGTCCTATGTGCCAAGCCCAGGTGTGGCACAGCCTGGCCTGCAGGGAATCTGGTCAAAAACTCTTAACTACCAAATTCAGTAGCACTTGGAGATTATTTCTTAACCTTTTTGACTGCGAGCATAGGCATTCAAACAATATGTTCATTTGGTGTGAATGACGTCTGTAGGAATGTTTCATTTCTGAGTGCTCCAGAGTCAAAGGGTTAAGTGCTTAATATGGCTGTGATAAGCAGAGGCAAAATGTCTCAGCACTTTACAGCTCTGTTGAAATCAGGGAAGGGGTGGGAATTTCTCCATCTTGGGTAGTTTGACATTTGATTAAGCAAGTTTATAATTTTTAAGTTAAAAAATTACATTTATACATTTTCATAATTTATACCCTTGGAATTATGATTTGCATACTATGACGCAAATTTATGCAATATTTCCATTTAGATAAATATCATAATGCTACTTAAGAGCACATGCTTTATAAAACTGTGATCTCATTGGCATTCAGGTGCAGAAAGCCAGTCATGAAAGCATAGCCTATCCCTTATTTCTGGCTAAGAAAAAAATTAATAGAATAATAAAAAGGTGTAGTAAGGATTAGAAGTAAATAGTTTCTTGAATAGAACAGGAAGAAACTATTTTAAATGATTGAGTTGGTTATTAAACTAGTATTCATTTACCTTAAAGACAGAAATGTCTTAAATTGAGAAAATGTATTGATTTGCTCAAGTAGAATACATTTTAAATCAGGTACCCTCTGGCAAAGCTTTGAAAGTCATAGCACACATCCAACAATATATACCTATCATTTGCAATTGAGAACTGAACATGGGAGGAACCAGAAGAATTCTTGGCTGTCTTCTCATCGAATGATTGGGGCTGATCGATCATTAGTTACCGTCGGTCGGAGTTTCACAGTAGCAAAGGGGTTTTCTCCACTGTAGGGGAGAAAAATAAAGTCTCTGTAGAAATTCTGCTGTGAGACAAGAATTTGATTTTGATAGTGCTAATACTCAACTTTTCCTTGCTTCCTAAGATTATACTGCTCACCACCTCCCCATGAGCACAAACTGGCTGTGTTTTCTGAAGGCATTTCACTCTGGCTGATTCCTTCCATGCCATTCATATTATAGGACAATCCAATGTTTAGACATTTTGACAGAACAGCCCATGCCTTTCCAGTCCTATGTTGGGGAGGGGTCATAGAAGAGCCACTCCGGGGTAGGGCCTGGATTTGGGTGGATGTGGGGCTGTCTCTCCAGGCCTTTCTTTCAGGGTATTCTAAAGCCAGGTGACCATAGTCTGCTGTTGCCCCACTGGCCCAGGGCCTTACCTAGGACTAGCCCCGTGGGCTGGGCATTAAGGCCCTTTCAGGGGATGGTTCAAAACCACTCATCCAAGAGGGAGGAAAACCCATTCTGAAGAGCTTCAGCAGGGAGCCACACATACACATACCTGAGGAAGGGTGGCTTCGCAGTCCCATTGGTATTATGCTGTGTGTGAGAGACAGAGAGAGGACGTTTATGGAGGGCTTATGGAATTGAGACATTTTTAATAAGACCAGGAGGTAAATATGTCTAAAGCACAGGGGACAGCTTACAGCTACATGTGGTAGCCAGGCATGGTGGCTTTCAACTGTTATCCTATAACTCAGAGGAGTAATCCTACTGGTATCTCTTGAGGCCAGGAGTTCAAAACCAGCCTGGGCAACATAGACCCTGTTGCTAAAAAAAACAAACAAACCCTAAACCTATGTAAAAACATCTGTCATCTTGATTCATTTTTGACTGTCAAGGTATCTGTGTAAATTCACTTTAAAGAACGAGTAAAAAAGAAACCTCGTTGGGGCCAGTGCCAGCCGCTAAGAGCCAGGGATCCCATACAAAGTTCAAAAAGTGTGGAAAAGAGAAATTGGATCTAAGTACAAATGCCATCTGCATGCAGGTAGCACTTGAGCCCTGCAGGTGCTTATGATTTGCATGCTATGACGCACATATGGCTCACTTCCACTTCCCAGGGACTTGGAAGGTGGACACAGGGCTTGGTGTGGGGGGCTGCTGTTTTTCAGCATGTGGCCACCAGGCATTGGCTGGTGGCCAGGTGTGTGTACTTTTGCTCTCATTCCAAAAAGCTTGCAGGCTTTAAAAACTTTTCAAGCTGCTCTAAGAAATCACAGCTTGAGCACGTGGAACCAGGTCAGGTGACCACCCAAGAGAGGGCAGTGTAAGGCTGTTTGACTCAGCACACTGGATGTGTGCAAACTGTTGGGAAAGAAGGTGGTTAGGGGGACAGGGGCTTTGGCCTCAGGCCTGTCCCACCCTCCCCAGAGCCCCTTGGCCAGCGCAGTCTGAGGGTAGCTGGCCTGATTCACACCTCCTTTACCCACTGAAGCAGCACAAAGCAACTACCCTACTCAGCATAGCCTAGGAGGGCTTTCTATGGCAGCAAAAGCCATTTCTATCTATAGGGCATATTGAGCTTCCTCAACAGGCCACAGAATAAGTCACCTCTGATGTATGTGATGATCAAGGGCTAATGTATTATTTTTACAATACACTAGGATGCCTGTTGCTTGTATGCTCAAGAGCAGAAAGCCCAGATGCTGGCTGGGCCTGGAAAGGTCTCCTGTGGCTCAGAGGTTAGGAGAGAGTATAAGATGCCACCAGGCCTGACACACAGTTCATGACCAGCAGCTGCCTCCTCTTACTGGAGACAACCCTCCTCCTGCCTTAACTTTTCCATCTGGAGTTGTCCCAACTGCCCCTGAGCAAAACCCCAGGACTTGCTCAGGCACCTTTTGGGCCCTGACTGGACTTTGGCAGGAATAGGGCCACATCTCAGCTGATACCTGGGGTTTAGCTGCTACATAGGAGAGAAACCATCAAGTGAATCCTTGGAGGGAGCAACAATACCTCTGCTGTGGGGAATGAGGGCAAAGTAACCTGAAGCCACTTAGTGTCTTTGTGGCCTTGAGCATAGCCCAGACCCCACAATCCCACTCCCAGTGGGATCAAGGGCACACACAGGTGGGCACCAAGGTACTGTGAGGATGCTCTGGGCAGCCCAGCCACCACAGTCAGACTGGAGACAACCAGATGCTTATCAACAGGATGACAGGCAGCTTCTATCCAGACAGTGGGATAATGTGCAAAAATGGAGAGGCCATCTCAGGAGCTCTGGGGTGCTGGAAATGTTCTGTTTCTTGATCTGCTGCTGATTATGCAGTCATGTCATGGAAACTCATGCACTTTGTGTAATGCGGTATTCTGTAATAAAATGCTTAAAGTATAGGACATGTTCAGGCAGATTTTCCCTTTAGTATTTACATGTCTTTCAGCAACTGGAAACCTCGATGTTCCTCTGCTGCCTCCCTTCCATGCACTCTGATTTCTAAGGCTAGTGACAGCTGTGACTTGGTACTTATAGTGCCCGTCACCCAGTGACCTCTAAAGGTCTCAGTGACACTCACCCAAAGTCCCTGGCTGTTTCAACTGCAGGGCTCCCCTTTACCCCTGTGCTGTGGCTGTACCTGACTATCCCCAAGTCTTTCTACCTGTTCCCTTTTGTGTCCCCTCCTGCAGCCAATGTGATGCCGGCCCCAGAGTGTACCCAACTGGACAGGAGAATATCAAGGCTGTGAGGCCAGGCAGGCCCCCCGTGAAGAGTGGAGTTGCCTGCAGGATGGCCCGGGCAGCACAGCACTCAGCTTAGAGAGTGACACGACCACCAAGCCCCGACTGAGGCCACCCAAGAATGGGGGGGAGGCACACCTGACACCTGTGACTCCTTCCACCCCTCAAAGCCCCCAAATCCTGAATGCCTTGTGTGGACATTTGCTGACTGCCTGTCACCTGGTGTCTGTTCCACTCCCCCTTTTTGACATGTGCCTTGAGGGGTACTGCTTCTCCCCGCCTGCAGGGTGGTCCTGGTCAGCTCCGACCCTCCAGCACAGCTCATCCCCCAAGTCAGGTACAGAAGGCAGGGTGAGCACGAGGGGACCTCAGGGCAATCTTGATGCCTGCCCTCCAGGCTTTTGCTGAGGCAAACAGAACATCCCTAAAGAACATTTCTGAAGCCAGCTAGAGGTTAGATACTTGCAACAAAAGCAGTCCTGACACCTGCCTTCAGTGCTAACAACTCATTCCAATCCTCATCTGTGGCTGAACTTGTCTCCCAGTCACTACCTTTCATCTAGTTCAAGTCCTTTATTCTCAAAATGGGGACACTGGAACAGGGAAAAGTCAATTGCTCTGAGTCACCAGCTCTGTTAGGAAACTAAAGTGCCCACGTTGTGCACAGGCCTGCACCAGGGGCACTGGCTGCAGTGAGAAGGGGCTTGTGGTTATGGTAAATGGGCTCTGACATGTAGGCTGCTTTTTAACAGGCAGAGTATCTGGTTATTGGAAAAGTTAGAAAGGAACCGACACTTCCTCAGTTGCAATTATAGTAGAGAACATGACCTGTGACAAGTCCCCAGCCTCAGTCCTGGCAAGTATATACACTGAGCCACTAGCGGAGAAACTCTTCCTCTTGGATCTTCTGAGATGAGCCATCACAAGGCAACCCTGGGAACTTTCTAGGTCAGTGGGCTCAGGCTCCTAGTCTGTGGACAGTTCCCAGCACTGGGGAGTGCAGAATACCCTAGTGGTAAATGACAGTGTTTGGATGTAAACTACACATAAAAATCTTTGGCCAGGCACAGTGGCTCACGCCTCTAATCCTAGCACTCTGGGAGGCCAAGGC